GTGTAAAATGTTGGTAATGCTGGTGTATATACAACTGTGTACAACATGTTGTGTAAAATGTTGGTAATGCTGGTGTATATACCACTGTTTACAACATGTGGTGTAAAATGTTGGTAATGCGGTAGTATATACCACTGTGTACAACATGTTGTGTAAAATGTTGGTAATGCTGGTGTATATACAACTGTGTACAACATGTGGTGTAAAATGTTAGTAATGCTGGTGTATATACAACTGTGTACAACATGTTGTGTAAAATGTTGGTAATGCTGGTGTATATACCACTGTTTACAACATGTTGTGTAAAATGTTGGTAATGCTGGTGTATATACAACTATGTACAACATGTTGTGTAAAATGTTGGTAATGCTGCTGTATATACAACTGTGTACAACATGTTGTGTAAAATGTTAGTAATGCTGGTGTATATACCACTGTTTACAACATGTGGTGTAAAATGTTGGTAATGCGGGATTATACTTGTCAGTCCCTCGGTGACAGCTATAGATAAACACTGTCTTCTGTGAAGGATGGTAGAGGAACGATATTTTTATTCAGTAAAATATTTTTTTTAGTAAATCTGCCTTAGAGGATGATAGATTAAATTAATAATGACTTTTGTTTGTATTGGAATTGATTTTACTAATTAAAATGTCATCATGTAACATATCTAAAGAATTGATTAAATCATTAAGATGTTATATTGATTTATTGATAATTAATTCCAAAATGATGTACAAAATTCCACGAATCACCTGACAATCGGAAGGATATCATCGAACCTTATTTTCACGAGAAATCAACATTTGTTTTGTCTTCTAAGAAATAACACTATCAATATCCACTATGATATCCACAAATATCTATTTGATTCACGCATGTACTCTTGCTTTGAGACTGCATACCGCTTGTTCTTTAAATGTAGTAGATATAATGATCTCCAACACTTCATCGAAATATCACACATGATACTCATGGCTACCTACTACTTTATATTCCTGTGAATGGTTGTAACGCACTCGCCTTTCACCAAGCCGTCCGGGGTTCGATTCCCTGATTGAATGTGTATGCGGTCACCTGCTTGACCATGTGGGTTTTCCAAGGGTACTCCGGTTTCCTCCCACAGTAAGACCCCTTGCGCGCTTTCAATTGCTTAAAAAATGTTGTAAAATATATAAAGTTGTTTATTATTGTATTATTTATGATGTAAAGGTGTCTATAAATTGCCAGTTACTAATAGTTATGATAATGTAGGATTATCTGTAAACATTGCGAGGCAGCTCCTGAATTTCATTTATATTAAAACTTCGAACTTTTAATCTTCGAATTGAATATTATAAACTATCATGTGGGACGGAACTTAATTAGTGGATGGCTTGTAACTTAATTAGTGGATGGATTTGAACTTAATTAGTGAGTGGCTTGGAACTTAATTAGTGGATGGCTTGGAACTTAATTAGTGGGTGGTTTGGATTTTAATTAGTGGGTGGTTTGGAACTTGATTAGTGGGTGGCTTGGAACTTAATTAGTGGGTGGTTTGGATTTTAATTAGTGGGTGGTTTGGAACTTAATTAGTGTGTGGCTTGGAACCTTCTTAGTGGATGGCTTGTAACTTAATTAGTGGATGGATTTGAACTTAATTAGTGGGTGGCTTGGAACTTAATTAGTAGGTGGTTTGGAACTTAATTAGTGGGTGGTTTGAACTTAATTAGTGGGTGGCTTGGAACTTAATTAGTGTGTGGCTTGGAACTTAATTAGTGGATGGCTTGGAACTTAATTAGTGGGTGGTTTGGATTTTAATTAGTGGGTGGCTTGGAACTTAATTAGTGGATGGATTTGAACTTAATTAGTGGGTGGCTTGGAACTTAATTAGTAGGTGGTTTGGATTTTAATTAGTGGGTGGTTTGGAACTTGATTAGTGGGTGGCTTGGAACTTAATTAGTGGGTGGTTTGGAACTTAATTAGTGTGTGGCTTGGAACTTAATTAGTGGATGGCTTGGAACTTGGTTAGTGGGTGGCTTGGAACCTTCTTAGTGGATGGCTTGTAACTTAATTAGTGGATGGCTTGGAACGTAATTAGTGAGTGGCTTGGAACTTAATTAGTAGGTGGTTTGGATTTTAATTAGTGGGTGGTTTGGAACTTGATTAGTGGGTGGCTTGGAACTTAATTAGTGGGTGGTTTGGAACTTAATTAGTGGGTGGTTTGGATTTTAATTAGTGGGCGGTTTGGAACTTGATTAGTGGATGGCTTGGAACTTAATTAGTGGGTGGTTGGATTTTAATTAGTGGGTGGTTTGGAACTTGATTAGTGGGTGGCTTGGAACTTAATTAGTGGGTGGCTTGGAACTTAATTAGTGGGTGGTTTGGATTTTAATTAGTGGGTGGTTTGGAACTTAATTAGTGTGTGGCTTGGAACTTAATTAGTGGGTGGTTTGGAACTTAATTAGTGTGTGGCTTGGAACTTAATTAGTGGGTGGCTTGGAACTTAATTAGTGGGTGGTTTGGAACTTAATTAGTGTGTGGCTTGGAACTTAATTAGTGGATGGCTTGGAACTTAATTAGTGGGTGGTTTGGATTTTAATTAGTGGGCGGTTTGGAACTTGATTAGTGGATGGCTTGGAACTTAATTAGTGGGTGGCTTGGAACTTAATTAGTGGGTGGCTTGAATCTTAATTAGTGGGTGGTTTGGATTTTAATTAGTGGGTGGATTTGAACTTAATTAGTGGGTGGATTTGAACTTAATTAATGGGTGGATTTGAACTTAATTAGTGGGTGGATTTGAACTTAATTAGTGGGTGGATTTGAACTTAATTAGTGGGTGGATTTGAACTTAATTAGTGGGTGGATTTGAACTTAATTAGTGGGTGGATTTGAACTTAATTAGTGGATGGCTTGGGACTTGATTAGTGGATGGCTTGGGACTTAATTAGTGGGTGGATTTGAACTTAATTAGTGGATGGCTTGGGACTTGATTAGTGGATGGCTTGGGACTTAATTAGTGGGTGGATTTGAACTTAATTAGTGGGTGGCTTGAAACTTGATTAGTGGGTGGCTTGGGACTTAATTTGTGGGTGAATTGGAATTTAATTAGTGAGTGACTTTTGATGATACAATGGACTTAGTCTACTTCTGTTGGGGTGATGTGATTAAGTTTCATCAGATGTTCAATCGAGTCTCGTTTTTATCTGTTCACTCGAATTTAAGGATTCATTTACCAAAGATAAATATATAATAAGAAAAGGCAAACATTTCAGTTTTAATCTTCTGGAGCTGCCTCTTAATTTCAGATTTGAATTGTTATATATAAAATGTTATATATATATATCATGTCCATGTTTTTATCATGATGTTACTATTTTAGGAGAGGACTTATATTGTCCAATCTTTTTTTTTATTTTGTTATATCAATAAAAAAATATGTTTTTAATAAAAAAAATCCAATATAAGCCTATGTTAAATTCTAACTTATAACTAGTACTCCATTTTGCATGCCGGTCATACACGCCGTTAGGTTTGTTTGGCGAGATGCCATCCGCACATTGTTCTTACGTCATTGATTTGGTTTACATTCTTGTTGGTGTCTATAAATAGCTCCTCAAGCAAGAACAACTGTTTCTAAATAAAGGAACAAATATGTGACATATGAAAATCTCATACGAAAGTTGATTACCTTGTTGGTCAAAAGCCGAAGGTCAATATCAGCTTCTATCGAGAAAAAGTTGTTCGTCGTCACAGTGACCAATGTTGGACATTCAGACGTTTTTACGATTAAAGCCTGGTTCACATTAGTTTCGATATCCTTAGGTCAAATGTCAAGGTTATTTACTTTCAAAAGAAGATAGTTCCTTTGCAGTAACAAACAATTCTGTCTCAGTCTTTATTCTATGGTCACTGATATTCGAACAGAAAATTGCTTTTCTCAACAAATACAAACGTTCTCTTAGATCGTATAATGCATTTACCTCGACGAAGTTGAGATTCAGATATGCTATATGAAGAACATTGACAAAAAGAGACTACTTTTGATACTAAAGACAACGATGTACATCTATGTTCACAATGTAAATAAGTGTATTACCATTTAAAAAAGACGACAAAATACTCCTTTCAGTTTCAGTTATTTTATTTACACACATGGAGTGAGAATACAAACAGTCACAATATGTCGACTTGACATATAACACGGAAAAGGTGACTGTGGTCTGTGTACTGATATTGGAAACATGTGAGCATACCAGGAAGTATTTGTTAAGCAGAAGTGCTTGAAATTTTAACAGGAGTTTAGTAATTTCACCACATACAAACATATATATTATATTTTTGAAAAAAAAAATTGTAAACAAGCTGTGCTGGAAGAGACAAATAGTGAAAAATATATTTCACTGTATTAAGTATTTATAAACAATTTAGAATATGTTTTCAGAGAGGGTAATAAGACATGAGAATGTAGAAATGAATGGAATTATATTTACATACAAAACATGGGACAAAGCCACAAGTGGCCGGGTTGCGGGATGAGTGCAATGCTATATGGCATCTATAAGACAATTAAGGGTGTTTCATTTGTTGAGTATGTAGAATATTTGTTATAAGAGAGAAAGTTTGGTTGTATTTTATGAATTGGTGCAGGAGAAGGGCATTTGAAGAAAGGAGTTGCAGCCATTTTTGATTCGGAGATGTTTTTAAAAATAGACAATGGACATCTAGGGCCCCAAGGTGATTTATATGTGGAATTTCGGAAAGAGTCTTGTAGTAGTTTCTGAAAACCGAGATAACAAGAAAAGTTTCAGAAAAAATTACTAAGTTCAAAACCCGGAAAATCCAGGAAAATGTTAGGAATGAAACCATAGTAGGAGGTGCACATCTTCGACATATATGTAAACATCCTACAAAGTTTCAAGCTTTTACGTCAAAAAGAAACTCTAGGAGGAATCGATTCTTCAAAACTGGTGCCCCTTTTCCCCGCCCGCCTGTTCCATACCCTATGACGTCAGAACTGTTTACACGAGAAAGGTTTTGATTGAACCTCGTATGGTCACCTTACACGCTGGACATTTAACCATGGCCGGAGCGCACTGGGAGCAACAAACGAAATGACCACAGGGTAGAAACACCACAGCGACCTCGACTTCACAACAGACTTTGCATGTTGATATTTCTTTCAACTTTTGGTTCTCAAACATTAAACGTTGGATTTCTAAAAATGACACAAAAATAGTATTATGTAATACGAATCTATGGAAACATTTGAGAGGAAATACATCAACTCCGTAATATTCTATCTATACACTACATGGATTAGTGGTGTGTTTGATTTACTACATGTTACTTTGTTCTCGTATAATGCCTAGATAGACTGACACAAATAACAACATTTGCCACCATATACAGAGTTATAGAACAACCACGATAGCGAATTACTTTGTTATATATCCAAGAGAGAATAATAGAACTGCTGATAACTGCTGATAACTGCTGGTATGACCATACAACTTTTCTAGTACCACGTGCCCATCAAATTCATAAAATCATACCAATTAGCGGAGTTATTTCGAGAAATGAAATGGAAGTGTTCAAATACTCTTCCGAGAACATGTTTCGAATGCTCTTTACAGAAAACATTTAGGTTTACAAGTGATATAGAAATTGCCTAACCTGTGTCCTCAGAATTAGAAGACGTGTCAGGATGCGTGTCACTCGTTCTCTGGATGGACCTTGGATCAGACATGTGACTTCTGTCTTCTGTTTCTTCTATTCGGAATACCTCGTCAAGTATATCTGCTGCTTCAATATCTCGTAAACCTGTTGAGATAACCGGCGTCATTACACAGATCTATCATTACATCACTGTGACGTCACGTAAACTTATCATAATTCCACCTCCCATCGGGTCTGATAGTCATTTTTTCTACTAAAAATAAACTAAGAAAGTGCATGATTTTATTATTAGGATGACGAATTCAATATGTCGTTCATTTTCGTAGGTGAGGAAATATATTGTTATACCTTGTAGATTCAGCTCCTATATATTTATATAGAGAAAGAAATGTCAAAAGTTTAACTACTTTGTTCATCGGTCCGAATGGACTGTTAAAATCGACTGTTGACCGCTTTACGGAAACATACGAGTACGCCCGCGTGAGAACGATGTTTTGTTTACATTCGAGTTATCTTCTCTTATCGTCTGCACAACAAAATAGCAACCAGTAGGCCTAGTGACGCAAACAGGTGAAATACAGCGAATCTTAGACGATCACGTCATCTTTGTGAAGGATATAACAAAACAGTTATTGACGTTATAATACTTTACAGTTCAGTCCAAGAGGTTAAACGTGGTTTGTGACATCGGGTGCCAAAGATGATTACAGAAACTTAAATACATCATGTACATACAAGTGTATGAAGAATGCCAAATTCTAATGAATATCGCGTTTCGGTTACACAATGTTTGTCGTTTTCATTCATGACGTAAATAAGTTACATTTTTTGTTTTTAGTTATTGAGAAGTTTACACGATATTCTGAGATATAATGCTAAATATCCAGCACTCCGTGGTGTTTTATCTGTTGCATTGCAAGTCAATAATACTGTAACAAATACAACTCTCATTTCTTAATCAATCAGATATACTTTTGTGGTTGATTAGAGAACAGACGGCGCTTTCTACCACAGCCTTCTTATAACCCATGTTCAACAAACTCTGAACAGCTGCATGTCTCCAAATGTCTGTGGCAAGCTCACTTTCAGTATCTGACGATGCTTCACTGGTGTTTTTCTCACACTGCAAGAATATCATAACTCAAAATTACAATACTACTACTGACTGGAATCAGAGACCATCTGACAGAATTAGCTATAGCGTCTACTACTACTGACTGGAATCAGAGACCATCTGACGGAATTAGCTATAGTGTCTACTACTACTGACAGGAATCAGAGACCATCTGACAGAATAAGCTAGAGTGTCTACTACCACTGGATGGAATCAGAGACCATTTGACAGAATTAGCTCTAGTGTCTACTACTACTGACTGGAATCAGAGACCATCTGACAGAATTAGCTATAGTGTCTATTACTACTTCTTAGCTCTAGTGTCTACTACTACTGACTGGAATCAGAGACCATCTGACAGAATTAGCTATAGTGTCTATTACTACTTCTTAGCTATAGTTTCTACAACTACTGACTGGAATCACAGACCATCTGACAGAATTAGCTCTAGTGTCTACTACTACTGACTGGAATCAGAGACCATCTGACGGAATTAGCTATTGTCTACTGCTACTGACTGGAATCAGAGACTATCTGGCAGAATTAGCTATAGTGTCTACTGCTACTGACTGGAATCAGAGACCATCGACAGAATAAGCTAGAGTGTCTACTACCACTGGATGGAATCAGAGACCATTTGACAGAATTAGCTCTAGTGTCTACTACTACTGACTGGAATCAGAGACCATCTGACAGAATTAGCTATAGTGTCTATTACTACTTCTTAGCTATAGTTTCTACTACTACTGACTGGAATCATAGACCATCTGACAGAATTAGCTCTAGTGTCTACTACTACTGACTGGAATCAGAGTCCATCTGACAGAATTAGCTAAAGTGTCTATTACTACTTCTTAGCTCTAGTGTCTACTACTACTGACTGGAATCAGATACCATCTGACAGAATTAGCTATAGTGTCTATTACTACTTCTTAGCTATAGTTTCTACTACTACTGACTGGAATCATAGACCATCTGACAGAATTAGCTCTAGTGTCTACTACTACTGACTGGAATCAGAGACCATCTGACAGAATTAGCTATAGTGTCTATTACTACTTCTTAGCTATAGTGTCTACTACTACTGACTGGAATCAGAGACCATCTGACAGAATTAGCTAAAGTGTCTACTACTACAGACTGGAATCATAGACTATCTGACAGAATTAGCTATAGTGTCTACTACTACAGACTGGAATCAGAGACCATCTGACAGAATTAGCTATAGTGTCTATTACTACTTCTTAGCTATAGTGTCTACTACTACTGACTGGAATCAGGGACCATCTGGCAGAATTATCTATAGTGTCTACTACCACTGACTGGAATCAGAGACCATCGACAGATTGTTTTAAAATGAAAAGTTTTTAAAATGTAACACCAACTTCCTATACTTACCGAAGACGAACGAAACTGTTTTTGAAATGTTACACCAAGTTCCGGTACTTACTGAAGACGAACAAGACTGTCTGTGTAACAATGTGCAAATATTGATGTTTTAATTAGTGACACTGTTTAACTATATTTTAATTAATTGAATTGTTGCGCTGCGTTCGTTGTACTGTTATGTAATACTGTGTTGCGTGCGGCCACTGTTCCGTCTACCTGTACTGTCCTTGTAAGTGTTTGATATCACGTGTCTTACTTTGTGTTGTCCATATATGGGTATTATTCCTAATATAGGTATTACTTCGTTTTGGGTCAGTGGTCAGTCCGGTTATCTTTGTCTATGTTTGGCGCGGTTTTTTATTAGTCCTTTGTGTTCAGACCTGGAGAGCGGACGTATAGTAGATCTAGACCTGTGTCCGCAAGATTTGAATCTTAGGTCTTGTAATTGGTTCTCCAGATATTTGGTATGTACGATAAAGTCTCAGTCTAGCTGCTCTCGTAATTGGGTTTTGTAAATTATTGATTCATTTTATAACTGAGGGTTCAGATGAAGTAAAGTTAATTAATGTGTGAAACGGTGCTTTTCATAAAGTGACGTAATTGTGATCTCATGTACGTATATATGGATTGAAGTTATTTAAAATAACAGGTGAAATATACCTTTACATGTATTTTACAGATTGATGTAAGATCTACAATTAGTCCACGCACAGACCTTTTTTTCTGTCTGGCAAACACCCGACCCATAGTTGGGGTAGGTATTTTAATAGATATTATATGTAGAACACGAGAGCTTGTGCAATTGATAATGTCAGTTATATTATGAGTAATTATGTAATAATGTAAGTTGTAAGCAGTTTCCTGTAGACCACGATCTACTTATATATACTAATGAGCGTAAAGCTGAGGCCTATTGATATTCCTATTTAGAATAAAGTATTAAGTGTGAATGTATTAAATATGTATTTACTGGATGTACATCATGTTATGAATGTAGACAACGTTTCATTATGTAATTGATTGTATTATGTCTTTGTAGGGTTTTAATTGTATTCTGTACAACATAGAATAAATGGAATAAGTCAGCACAGTACACGTCGTTGTTCTTTAAAAACTTGACAACTTTACATCTGTTTTTTAGATGTTACACCAACTTCCGGTAGTTACTGAAGACGAACAAGACTGTCAGTTTTTTTAAATGTTACACCAACTTCCGGTAGTTACTGAAGACGAACAAGACTGTCTGTCTTTAGCTGTTACACCAACTTCCGGTACTTACTGAAGACGAACAAAACTGTCAGTTTTTTTAAATGTTACACCAAGTTCCGGTAGTTACTGAAGACGAACAAGACTGTCTGTCTTTAGCTGTTACACCAACTTCCGGTACTTACTGAAGACGAACAAGACTGTCAGTTTTTTTAAATGTTACACCAATTTCCGGTAGTTACTGAAGACGGACAAGATTGTCTGTTTTTTAAAACGTTACACCAACTTCCGATACTTACTGAAGACGAACAAGATTGTATGTTTTTAAATTGTTACACCATCCTCTAGTACTTACCGAAGACGAACAAGACTATCTGTTTTTTTAAATTTTACACCAACTTCCGATACTTACCGAAGACGAACAAGACTCTGTTTTTAAATGTTACACCAACTTCCGGTATTACCGAAGACGAACAAGACTGTCAGTTTTTTAGATGTTACACCATCTTCCGGTACTTACTGAAGACGAACAAGACTATGTTTTTGAATTGTTACACCAACTTCCGGTATTACCGAAGACGAACAAGACTGTCAGTTTTTTAGATGTTACACCATCTTCCGGTACTTACTGAAGACGAACAAGACTATGTTTTTGAATTGTTACACCAACTTCAGGTAGTTACTGAAGACGAGCAAGACCGTATGTTTTTAAATGTTACACCAACTTCCGGTACTTACCGAAGACGAACAAGACTGTATGTTTTTAATTGTTACACCATCTTCCGATACTCACCGAAGACGAACAAGTCTCTGTTTTTAAATGTTACACCAACTTCCGGTATTACCGAAGACGAACGAGACTGTCTGCTTTTTAGATGTTACACCATCTTCCGGTACTTACAGAAGACGAACAAGACTGTCTGTTTTTAAATGTTACACCAACTTCCGGTACTTTCCGAAGACGAACAAGGCTGTATGTTTTTTAATTGTTACACCATCCTCTAGTACTTACCGAAGACGAACAAGACTATCTATTTTTTAAATGCTACATCAACTTCCGGTAATAACCGAAGACAAACAAGACTGTTTGTTTTTGAAATGTTACACCAACCTCTAGTACTTACCGAAGACGAACAAGACTGTTTGATGCTTCGAACAAAGTCATTGCCCTTGTTCTGGAGTAAATACACACATCTCGGAAACCATCGCGCATGCTCTCCCCATGGATCATCCCAGGGTTCCCAGTTTCGAAGTCCACCCCCACAAAAGAAACAGCGAGTGTAGTCGGAGTGTCCCGTGTAGACAAATCCTGCTTCTGCCATCTTCTTCCTTGTCTGCGTAAGGTGTTTCGGCCATGCGTCATATGAAGCCTCACGCACACTGAGCACGGCGTAAGCCGGATATTTCGGTTTGGTAAAGCTTACACAGAATGGGTCCGACACAGGCGATGCTATACTACTTGGAATGTCACTTTCATTTCTAAATTGCGGCGCATTGTGGTTTACTCCCATTGGTATACTATCTGCTTGTGATGCTGTGTGGTTAGTCTCCGCTGATGTGTCCTCGACCCGTGTCACATCATGAGGATCTCTTGTTGTATCGTCAGGTGATGAAACTGCATGGTTAGCGCCACATGGCTTATACCCTGGACCTCTCAACTGGTGTCCATCTTTTTCATGATGGGGTCGTGCACAGTTCGGCTGATTATCCGTGAAGATATCGTATCTATTCGACGTTTCAGAGACATTTTCACTTCGGTCAGCTTCCGGTACATGATTTACTTCCGGCGCTACTGTTACGTCTGAATCACGAGTAATTGGAATATTTCTACTACACGGTCCTTCCACGCTGTTACAAGTTGGTGACACTTTCCGATGATAAATATCCGGATCTTCTTTATCATCCCAGCTTGTCCGTGTGATATTACATGAATAACATGTGACACAGTCATTGTCACTCAAGAAGAATCCTGCACGTGCCAGTTGAATGATACTGACATCCATAGTGAATTGGAAATTCGAGAAGGTCCTTAGTCGTGCCCACTCTATATGCATGTATTCCTTCTGAATCTGTGAGGACTCGCTTTGTATATCTTGCCACATTCTCGATAATATACAATTTAACGTATGAATACTAGTACTGTGTTAAAAATGGCTGGTCGAGGATTATAAAAAATATTAGGTAAGGGTCATAAAATGTTTCCAGAGTTACAGGATGCCACTAAATAACAATGGGTTACAGGAAGGCACTAGATAAAAGTCGGATACATTGATGAATTACGCAATGATAGTGATTGATTTTCTGTTGTCGCGAACAGTACTTTGTCGTCACCTATACAGATTTTATTGGTTTGCCTGATTTGTTGATATAAGATTTTAAAAAGTCTAATTCTGCAAGTATAAATAAATTATGACACTGCAGTGTTAATCTAGAAAACAGAAACTGGCTATAACCATGGTGCGATGATCTAGGTTAGAAAACCGACGATAATTATAACAATGATGTGGTGGGTTAGGTAAGAAAATAGAAAACACTAGAGTGATGATCTAGGTAATAAAACAGAAAAACACACAATTATCTATAGCAGGTATAGCTGCTATAAAGCGAGTAAGTGTTAGTACAAAATCAACAGACAGACATTGTTGTCTTTACGTTTTATCAAGTGAAAGATCTTTATAATGCCCCTTCTATTTTTAGGTATCGACATAAGTAGGATCTTCAAATTGGCTAGGGTATGTCTGCTACACATCTGAAATAAAAAAAAAAAAACACGTTATCTTAAATCCGCAGGCAAGGATACGTGTCAGGACGTTCTAAAGCCGAACCTAAACTGTGTACTGATGATCTGAAGACGGATGATACCACCAGGTTTGTCTTCTGTTTACTGTTATGCTACGTTTACACTATGTTCCCGGCGACCACGGCAGCTCCGTTTGCCTGAAACGTAGTGCGCCTTGGGACTTGGGTCATTTTTATCTCCGCATTCAAGCTTTGTTACGTTTTCTCGCGGTCTGTCACGGTATCCGTGACGGATCTTGAGAGAGCGGGGCTGATGTTTTCCAGAAGACTCAACGGCGCACTACGGCTCGGCCTGCGGTCTTCCACGGATGACAGTACGTTCTGCCCAGGCTTATCACGTTCAGATGGGATCCCTCACTTTCTGCTGGGACCCCTCACGTTTCTCACGTTCTGATCAAGGTCTGATACGGTTTTCACGTTCTCTCAAGGCTTTCTAGGGATGAAACGTGGACGCCGGGCAACTCTGGAGCACGTTTGTACCCCACGGTATAAAACGAGGCCTCTCTAGCAATAGCAACCATTGTATCCCGAGACTTCAACGGGTTAGCAGCAGCAATATGCTCCACATCATCTAGCGGCGGTGCACAAAGAGGATCTTCAGGGTGCTCCTGTTCCTCTACTAGTTGTGTTGGTGTAGAACGGGATACCTTCGATCGTCTTGGCCTCTTTGGTGGCATCTTCACACCTTGGTCTTGATGCTGTGTGACCGATATCTCCAACACAAATAAAACTCCCCGGTCGAGCCCGGCTTTTTATACTCCCTCCCAGACCGCGCGTGCCGTGTCAGACCGTAGAAGAACGCAACTTGCCGTAGCGCACCGGGTCTGTTAACCGTCACACGCCGGGGCGCGCCGTGATTGAACGTGACGATACGGCTACCATACTCCTTAGCTTGCCGTGAGAACCGTGACAAAACGTAGCAAAACGGGACAGAACGCGCAGCATCCCTGACACACCGCGCACTAAACGCGGCAGAACGTAACACAACTTGAAAGGACCGTGATATGCCGTGGAATGCACAAGCTTCCCGTCCCACTAAGGACCGTCTCCAAGTTCTGTTACGGCCTATCACGTGCTGTCACGTTTTGTTGCGTTCACCCCGTTTTACTACGGCCTGATAGGTTTCTCAATTCCGCCGTGACTGCCGTGGAAAATTTTTTGACAGTTTAAAAATCTGGCACGGCAAACACGGCCTGTCACGTTTGCCCATCCCCTTCTCTCGCGTTGCCTCACGCCCACCCCGTTTTGTCCACGGTGGCCCGAAACGGGGTTGCCGTGGCCGCCGGGAACATAGTGCAAACGTAGCATTAGTTCCACTTAAGTTCTTACCTACGATTAGTTCTTCACAAGACACAGATTAGTTCCACATGAGTCGAAATATTATTATACCTTTATGAAAGGACCGTTTATATCTGGTATATCACACCATTTGATATGCGGCATACAATCACCGCAGTTATCATGCTTCACGCTTCATGTGTATCATTGACAAACAAGTTTTCTTGATGTATTAATTATCGAAGCATGAAAAATAGGCAAATACCATTGTTGGTGTCGATAATGATTTTAAAACAAGATGGGTCATTGAAATTGTAAAATCATTGAGATACCAACATATTCCTAATATATCGCGTTACATAGAACATACATCACATTGCGTTCATAACACCATAAATGCAATGAAACACAGTTCGATCGCTTTGACAAGTTAGACTATAGAGTTAGGACTTGCTCATCTAATTACATGTGGTGTTATTTTTTCACCAATACTTGCTACTTATACTCTAAGTGCTGTATTAGTAACGAAATACAGGTTTTTTTCGTATTTTGTTTTGACTTTGTAAATTTTTCCTAATGTTAGAAGCGGTTTTCGTACTGCTTCTCAAATCACCTCACCTTGGGATAAATTTCTGCTTTCCTCATAAGGCTAAGGCTGACAGGGAGAAAACAAACCACATCCATCTTCTCACTGCTGTTGATTTGCTGTTGTTGCCATAGTGCAGCCTCAGTTAAATTCAAATGTTAAAAGTTACAGATACACAAGATTTTCAAAGTGAAGGAAATGTGCAGTAAGTCTATAAAATCTAATTTGTTCCGTTACAAATTACCACTCCAGGACAGTCAACTCTACAGTCAGGCTGGAATACAGGTGACACCGCCCACAGACACTGTTAAACAATCCACAAATGTTTAAGTAAAGACTTGTTCTGACACTGTTAAACCATCCACAAATGTTTAAGTAAAGACTTGTTCTGACACTGTTAAACAATCCACAAAGGTTTAAGTACAATCTTGTTCTGCTTCCTTATTGACACGTTGGACGTAGCTGTATATATATTTGGAATTGTTTGCCGCTATCACAAAATGAAAGTTGACGCAAAAAGCAATGACGAAACATTCGCTGTATATTAAAGCACTGATGTAATTTTTGATGAAGCGAAAGTACGTTCCTTGTGATAAGAATATTGAACATTTTAAAGCAAAATGATATTAATATTTCACAATGAATTATAAGGAAATATGTATATTATACGTATAAAGATATAAAACTATAATTACACACCAGAAATATATGTATAGACACATCTATAACATCACAACAGACATATACATATAGACACATCTATAACATCACAACAGAAATATACTTATAGACACATCTATAACATCACAACAGACATATACGTATAGACACATCTATAAAATCACAACAGAAATATACTTATAGACACATCTATAACATCACAACAGAAATATACTTATAGACACATCTATAACATCACAACAGAAATATACTTATAGACTTATAGACATATCTATAACATCACAACAGAAATATACTTATAGACACATCTATAACATCACAACAGACATATACGTATAGACACATCTATAACATCACAACAGAAATATACTTATAGACACATCTATAACATCACAACAGACATATACATATAGACACATCTATAAAATCACAACAGAAATATACTTATAGACACATCTATAACATCACAACAGAAATATACTTATAGACACATCTATAACATCACAACAGACATATACGTATAGACACATCTATAACATCACAACAGAAATATACTTATAGACACATCTATAACATCACAACAGACATATACATATAGACACATCTATAACATCACAACAGACATATACATATAGACACATCTATAACATCACAACAGAAATATACTTATAGACACATCTATAACATCACAACAGACATATACGTATAGACACATCTATAACATCACAACAGAAATATACTTATAGACACATCTATAACATCACAACAGACATATACATATAGACACATCTATAAAATCACAACAGAAATATACTTATAGACACATCTATAACATCACAACAGAAATATACTTATAGACACATCTATAACATCACAACAGACATATACGTATAGACACATCTATAACATCACAACAGACATATACATATAGACACATCTATAACATCACAACAGACATATACATATAGACACATCTACAACATCACAACAGACATATACGTATAGACACATCTATAACATCACAACAGAAATCTACTTATAGACACATCTATAACATCACAACAGACATATACGTATAGACACATCTATAACATCACAACAGAAATATACTTATAGACAAATCAATAACATCACAACAGACATATACGTATAGACACATCTATAACATCACAACAGACATATACATATAGACACATCTATAAAATCACAACAGACATATACATATAGACACATCTATAACATCACAACAGACATATACGTATAGACACATCTATAACATCACAACAGAAATATACTTATAGACACATCTATAACATCACAACAGACATATACATATAGACACATCTATAAAATCACAACAGAAATATACTTATAGACACATCTATAACATCACAACAGACATATACATATAGACACATCTATAACATCACAACAGACATATACATATAGACACATCTATAACATCACAACAGAAATATACTTATAGACACATCTATAACATCACAACAGACATATACGTATAGACACATCTATAACATCACAACAGAAATATACTTATAGACACATCTATAACATCACAACAGACATATACGTATAGACACATCTATAACATCACAACAGAAATATACTTATAGACACATCTATAACATCACAACAGACATATACATATAGACACATCTATAACATCACAACAGAAATATACTTATAGAC